GCTTTGAAGGGTGGACTCTGTGGCATTGCACCATGCTGGGGCCCCTACCCTTCCCAGACCCCGCCCTCTCCCGGATCCACCCCCAAAGTCTCCAGGTATTTTCCCTAGACGGGCAAGATCATAAAATGTATAGGTCGAAAGCCATAAAAGAAAAACGTCAGTTATTTCTGAAGATGTCATAAAATAGACTATATAAAGGAAATGGGCTTTCAGTCTGAGGCCTGCAGTCCCTAGACACTGGACCTAGGGTTGCCAGCCTCCAGGTGGGGCCTGGAGACCTCCCGCTTTGACAGCTGATCTCCAGCTGACAGAGATCAGCTCCCCTGGAGAAAATGGCTGCTTTGAAGGGTGGACTCTATGGGCACTGTCCCATGCGGAGGCCCCTCCCCTCCCCAAACCCCGCCCTCTCCTGGATCCACCCCCAAAGTCTCCAGGTATCTTCCAACCCAGACCTGGCAACCCTATCTGGACCCCTTCCCAAGTTCCCTCCATATAGTTAGGCTGACTACAGGGAGGGGGGGGATTACAAAATGACTTGTGACAAAGACTCATAACTTTTTGTGGCATCTGCAGTCATACCTATATGGTAGGGTTGCCAGCCTCCAGGTGGGGCCTGGCACTCTCCTGTGATTGTAATTGATCTATAGGCAATAGAGATCAGTTCCCCTGGCGAAAATGGCTCCTTTGGATGGTGAACTCTATGGCACTGTACCCTAGGCTTGCCAAGTCCCCTGGGGGGACGGGGAAACCCCCGTCCCAGAGGCCCGTTCCCCGCCACCGGCGGAATGGGCCCCGGGGGAAACCCCACCCCGACGTGCGCGTCACCCGGAAGTGACACGACCACGCCTGGCACACTGGGGGCGGGGCCACAGTCATCCGAGGGCTCCAGATGCCGGATGGGAGTCCCCTGCTACGGAGGAATTTACACTTGGCAACCCTACTGTACCCTGCTGAAATCCCTCCCCTCCCCAAACCCTGCCCTCCCTGAGCTCTGCCCCCAAATTCTCCAGGTGTTTCCCCACACAGAGCTGACAAGCCTACTACATAGGGTTGCCAATTCTAGTTTAGAAAATTTCTGGAGATTTAGGAGTGGAGTAGGGTTGCCAGGTCCCTATCTTTTGCCGGTGGGGGTGAGAAGCTCCTCTCACGGGATCTTCTGGCATGTACTCATCGCGTGCACCCCACGAAGACGTCACCTGGAAGTGACATCATCGCGCTAGGCACGTCGCCAGGGGGACGCTTTAGCATTCGGCTAGAAACTCTATGATACCACAAAGTTTTCAGGCCGAATGCTAGAGTGTCCCCTGGTGATGTGCCCGGTGCGATGACGTCGCCTCTGAGTGATGTCATCGCATGGGGCACGTTGGCCCAATCCAGGCTCTAATCTGGGAGAACCAGGTTTGGCTCCCCACTTCTCCACATGCGGCTGTTGGTGGGTGACCTTGGGTCAGTCACAAGTTCTCTCAGAGCTGTTCTCTCAGGAGCTGTCCTCGAAAGAGCTCTCTCAGCCCCACCTACCTCACTGGGTGTCTGTTGTGGGGAGGGGGAAGGGAAAGGAGATTGTAAGTCGCTCTGAGACTCCTTCAGGTAGTGAAGAGTGGGGTATAAATCCAAACTACTACTCCTCCTACTCCTCCTCCTCTTCTTCTTCTTCTTTGCCTTGATCGCCCTTTTCTGCCCTTTTTGTTGTACCATGTTTGGTGTCACTCTTCTCTGCATCACCGACCTTTTCACCCCCCCCGTTTTTGTATCCTGCTTCACAGGTCCAATTACCATGGGGAGTCCACCAAAAGCAATTCTCTTCCAGTTGCTCATCCTCAGCCTCACGGTCTCTCGGAGAGTTTGTGTGCCTAATCCGGCCATCCCCCCCAACGCCACCGTTTTCTCTCACATATACACTATAAAGCTGGCGGGGGACAGCGAGGAGGGTGAGGAGGAAGACGCCTCCCACGCACTGCAGGAGGCCCGGGGGCCCCCTGGCTCCTCGCGAGGAGGGGGTCTCTACGAGCACACCCTGGAAGGGCCGGATCAGGAGCATGTGGTTTTCACCCACCGCATCAACCTGCCCCCGCCAGCTTGTGGGTGCCCACCGGGTACGGAGGATACCCAACAACTCCTGAGACGTCTGGAAGCGCTGGAGAACGAAGTGCGGGAGCTTCGGGAAACCTGCCAAGCTGGAGGCAGCTGTTGTTCAGCACCGGCAAGCATCCAGGCGAGCACAGGTAAGACCTCGGGTGTGTGTGTGTGTAAGAAAATACATGCATACCTGTGGACAGGGGTCGTTTCGTGGAAAAAGAGGTGCAGGAGCTCATTAACATAACTCATTAGCATAACTTATTTGCATATGCCACACACCCTGACATCACCAGAAGTGTGTCAGAAGGCAACACCCACTGCTCAAGCTCCACTCGACTGTTTTGGATTGCTAGCTATTGGGGGAGGGGGGAACATGCAGATCTGTCCTCGCAGAGGAGGGAGAGCTTGTTTTTTTGGAACTCCGTTCCTGTGCGTTCCTGCCCAAAAATAGCCCTGCGTACCTGTGGAGCTCTGTGGAATAATTATATCTGAGTGCCAAACTAAATTCAGTACCACCTCCATTCGCCAGGGTGAAGTGTGTGTATGTGTGTGTGGGGGTGGTCTGTTCTCAGGATTGCTGCAAGTGATTAAAGCTATGAATATTTATTTATTTAAAACATTTTAATGCTGCCTTTCCACCTGATCAGGGTCCCCAAGGTAACGAACATTAAAAAAAACAGGAAAAGATTTGAACAATGAAAAATGACATTTAAAATGATAATATTGTCGTACGAATTTTCCCAATATAATTCAGTAAAAACACATAAACACACAGCACCAGATAGCATTGCCAGTTGCTTCCTGACAGCCAGCGGGGGATGGGAAGAGGGCTTACCTGGACCAGTAGGGGGGGAACCATCCAACCACAGCGACATGCCTATGTGACTGCACATGTGACCTGGAAGTGGTGCTACCACTTAGAATCATAGAGTCATAGAGTTGGAAGGGGCCTCCAGGGTTATCTAGTCCAGCCCCCTGCACAATGCAGGAAATTCACAACTACCTCCCACCACACCCCCAGTGACCCCGGCTCCATGCCCAGAAAATGGCAAAAAACCCCACCCCTCCAGGATCCCCGGGCAAACTGGCATGGAGAAAATTGCTGGCCGAAAATTCTTCCGAATGTGGATGAAAGCAGCGACTCTTGGTCTGTTAATGCATTATACAAGCACTTTGCCCTAGGAACATTCTTTCAGAGAATCTCTTGCAACTATGTTATGATACATCGGTGAAAATTAATGAAATTCTTGATACGTACCTGTTGAAATAACAGGCCAGAGTCGCTACTTTCATCCACATTCGGAAGAAGAATAGTATCGAAACGATAGAACATTCCGGAGATCATCGTCAATTACACCATTTTCAACTGCCTTTGTGCATTTATATATGTAGATTTTTTTGTATACATTTTGTGATCATTATTTAAATATTCTCTAGCGCAGTTACCTCACAGTTTCTTCTTTTTTCGGTCTGTTCTGTGACTGTGACCATCATTTTTGAGCCACATTCCAATGGAGAAAATTGCTACCTGACCCCAAAGTGATGTTCAGCATTTCCCTGGGCGTGTCAGAAAGGGCCACAAGAACTAAGCACTGATGGAGCCCTTCCTGCTCTCCCTCTCATGATCTGCCTAAGTTGACAGAATCCACATTGCTGTCGTCCATCTAGCCTCTGTTTTAAAACTTCCAAAGAAGGAGAGCCCGCCACCTCTAGAGGAAGCCTGTTCTACTGAGGAACTGCTCTGTCAAGGCTTCTAACTTCTGGGACGTCAAGGCAACACTCTGGTATTTGGGCAAAAACTCTATGGTAAATTTGGCTTCTACCATAGAATTTTTGCTCAAATACCAGAGTGTCACCCCCGATGTCCCGGAAGTGATAGTGTCACTGCTGGGTCCTGTGGGCAGTTACGTAGACATGTCGCTGCACAAAGGAGGATTTCCCCTCTTTTTCAAGGTAAGTCCCCCTGTTGGCCAGCTGATTGGTGGCAGGGAGGTGGGGCCTGGCATCAGGGGACCCCACACCTCCAGTGGGAGGTCAGGCAACCTTAGCACCAGAACCAGGGAGGAGGCCGATAACTGTTATTGGGGATAAGCCAAACAGAACAAAAGTCTTTACCTGGTGGTGGAAGACACCGATAGAAGGAGACAGATGAATCTGGGGTGGTGGGAGTTCCCTGGGGAGGGAGCTCCACAGTTTTGGTGCCACAACCAAGAAGGCCCTTTCATGGGTTGCCACTAGCCTCAGATGGCAAGGGCAACTGAAGTGATGTATGTATGTATGTGGAGGGCCACGGTGATATAAAGGATGCGTAGCACACAATTTACAAATAATAATAAAAGAGACAAGACTCCTTATTGTAAATTCCATGTTGCCAATTGATTCTCACAGAAGGCTTTCATTGATTTTTGCCGAACTCGTATCCATAGCCAACCTGTGGTTGCAATTCAACCATGACTTGGCAAATGGCGTTGCCTCCCAATCTGCTGTTTTCCTTATAAATTTATTGTCATTAAATCTGATATGTGTTTTAATGCATGTTTGAGAAGAGAAAGCTGACCCGGTATTTCATCCTTTTCTTCCGTCTTCTTTCATCTTTTCCCATCTCTGTCATTCTGTCACCCAGGTCAGACAGACACGCGCACCTTATGTTCACATCATGGCTCCTTTGACCTCTCTCGCTGCGTCTGTGAATGCGAACCGGGTTGGGTTGGCCCCACATGTGCCCAGCCAACTTGCCCAGGCGGGTGTGGTGGCCCACAACGGGGCAAGTGTGTGGACGGGCATTGCCAGTGCCGCCCCGGCTACTCTGGAGTCCGATGTGAAGAGCCACCTTCCTGCCCGGATGACTGTAATGACCAAGGCCGTTGTGTGGATGGACGTTGCTCCTGCTTTCCAGGGTACGTTGGCCCTTCATGTGCCGATCCGGCCTGCCCCCAAGACTGCCAGGGTCATGGCCAGTGTGTTTCAGGACAGTGTGTGTGCGAACCTGGCTACTCCGGGTCTGACTGTGGGACCCGCACCTGCCCAAGCAACTGCAACCGACGTGGAGAGTGCCGCGATGGGCGCTGTGTGTGCCAACCAGGCTTCGTGGGCCCGGCCTGTGGCACCAAGTCTTGCCCCAATGACTGTAACCAGAGAGGGCGCTGCCTGAAGGGTGGGGTGTGTTCCTGCCACAAAGGATACACTGGCTCAGACTGTGGACAGTTGGCATGTCCCGAAGACTGCAGTGGGCATGGCAAGTGCCAGCAAGGAGTTTGCCAGTGCCATGACGGTTATTCCGGAGATGACTGCTCCACAGGTAAGCAGAAACGTCTGTTACTAAATCTTCTGAAATCGATGTGTCCAGTTGCTTTTAGAAAGTGGACAGGGCCCCACCAGTAGGGCTTCTGATTGGCTGTGCAGGTTAAAAGGGATCCTGTTAAACAGGGCTTCTTCCTGAAATGTTGAAGAGTAAACTGGAAGTGCCCATTCCGACATGCTTCCTTCAACTGGAAGTGACGTAGGCACATTGGGAATGTCTGGGGGCAATATTCTGGAATCTGGGCAAACTCTATGGTAAATTTGGCCAAATTTATCATAGAGTTTGCCCAAATGCCAGAGTGTTGCCCCAGACGTCCCCGACGTGCCTACGTCACTTCCAGGTGACGTCAACACATTGGAACTGGTATTTCCAGTTTTACCAGAAGTGGCCTGAAACCACTTCCGGTCTTCAGGAAGTGGGCTGGGAGCCCACTGCTGGCCAGGTAAAGTCTGCCTGGCAACCCTATGTGGCAGCTATTTTGTTGTTGCACCCACCATTCTGTATCAGAATTCCCAAGGTGCCTGCCGCCTAGAGGCTCCGGTTCAATTCTGGCATAGACCTTGGCTGAATCACAGTTCTCTATTACCCTCTAGGTGAAATGAATTTACTAAAAGCCTGCCTGAGGGCTGTCTAGATGTTACGGCAGCACTGCTTCAGCGACCGGCGTTGGAGGGGGACAAGATCACCTGGTCCCATCATGCAGTGGCCTCACAACACTTTGCCCTGCGCCTTCGGGGAGGGCGGGATATAAATCCAAAGAATGAATGAATAAATAAATAAATAAACACTTTGTAAATGGCCAAATTTTCCTCAAAAATGGCATTGGCGACCATGGGTCCAACCCTTGGCCACCATAATGTCTAGTTTGGCTCTGACAAAATTGATAAAGGGCCAATGAGAAAATTTGGGGGAGAAGTGGGTGAAGATTTTGACAACCAGAAATGATATTCCCCATGACCATCATCATTTGAATTAATTGGAGTTTGGGAAGGGGAGGGACTTCAATGGATATAATGCCACAGAGTCCACCTACCAAAGTGGTCATTTTCTCCAGGTGAACTGCCATCTATCACCTGGAGATCAGTTTCAGTGTTATTATTTATTTATTTGTTTGTTCAATTTATACCCTGCCCTCCCCGCCAAGGCGGGCTCAGAGCGGCTTACATAAAACGTATATATAAAAATACAGTTAAAACATACATAAACAATCAATTATTCATTTTCCTAAAGTGCCGGATCAATTAAAGTACATCAACAATTTCCTAATTTAGGCTATACCACTACTTTGGTGTTAGTCCTTGATGGCATTCTCAAAACAGCTCATTTTGATTGACTAATTTATGCAGCGAGCCAGGCTGCAGGTGGTAAAGCCAGGGCACAGGGTCCCTCCTTGGTGTTTAAGGCGGCTTCTAATCGAAGGCCTGGTGGAAGAGCTCCATCTTACAGGCCCTGCAGAATTGTGAAAGGTCCAGCTGGGCCCTGATCTCTTCTGGGAGTTCATTCCACCAGTATGGAGCCACCACTGAGAAGGCCCTGGCCCTGGTTATCACCAGCCTGACATCCTAGGGGCCTGGGAGGGCCAGCCGGTTTTGGGCCCTTGAACGCAGTGCTTTCTGGGGAACATGGGGAAAGGCGGTCCCACAGATATGCCGGACCCTAACCATAAAGGGCTTTAAAGGTCAAAACCAGCACCTTGAAGCAAATCCGGTATGCTGTTGGCAGCCAGTACAATACTTTCAGAACAGGCTGGATGTGCTTCCTCATAGAGAGGCCCATCAACACCCTGGCCGCAGCATTTTGCACCAGCTGCAGCTCCCGGATTTGGGAGAGGGGCAACCCCATGTAGAGAGCATTACAGTAGTCTAATCTTGAGGTAGGGTTGCCAAGTCTGTTTTTCGCCATAGCGGGGGACTCTCGGCTGAGGGAACCAACTGCCTAATCAGCCGGAGATGGTAAAAGGCTGACTTGGCAGTGGCTGCTACCTGGACCTCCATTGTTAAAGAGGCATCCAGGAGCACTCCCAGACTCCTAACCTCTGGTGCTGGCACCAGCTGCGCCCCATCGAAGGTAAGGAGTGGGTTCCCTACCCTTGGGCCACCCCGACTCAGGCACAGGACCTCTGTCTTCGTCGGATTCAGTTTCAGTCAACTCAGTCTAAGTCAACCAACCACGGCTTATAACGACCGTTCTAAATCTTCCGGTGTACAGCCAGACTGGCTGCTCAACAGCAGATAGAGCTGGGTGTCATCCGCATATTGGTGACACCCCAGCCCATGCCTCTGGGCAAGGGGGCACATGTAGATGTTGAACAACATCAGGGAAAGTACCGCCCCTTGAGGCACACCACGGGTCAGTGGGTGCCTTCAAGACAGTTGTTCCCCTAGCACCACCCTTTGTCCCCAACTCTGAAGGAAGTATACGAGCCATTGCAAGGCAAGCTGCTGAACTCCAGAGTCGGCGAGGCGGTGGATCAGTAGCTGATGGTCAGCCGTGTCGAACACTGCCAACAGGTCCAAGAGCAACAGCACTGCCGACCCGCCTTGATCCAGATGCCTCCGGAGGTCGTCCGTGAGGGCAACCAGTGCTGTCTCTGTCCCATGTCTCGGGCAATAACCGGACTGGAAGGGGTCTAGAGTGAGCTGAGCCAGTGAGAGCTAGCTCTAGGCTTGCCAAGTCCCCCCGGGGGGCGGGTAAACCCCCGCCTGAGAGGCCCGTTACCCGACGTTACCCGACGCCATTACCTGATGCCAGCAAATCGAGCCCCGGGGGGAATTCCACCCCCTTCCGGCACATCATCACACTGGCCACGTTGGGGGTGGGACGCTCTATGATTTGAGGGAAAACTCTATGGTTTTCCCTCGAATCCTAGTGGTTCCGCCACCAACATGCCAATGTGATGATGTCACTTCCGGGTGGCATCATTGCGGCAGCGCGTGCGCTTTGCGCGTATGCACGGACTCCCAGGACGGCAAGGGACTCCCCCGCGGTAAGTTAATTTGGACTTGGCAACCCTAGTTAGCTCACAGTATTTTAGCCTGCGGCTCACGCATTCTTGTCTCAGCTCAGGAAGGAGGGCTCCAGAGCAAACTAATTTATGCAGCAGCCAAATCGCTCCCTCACAACTTTAATGCCAGCAGCTCACAAAGTAGAATTTTTGCTCACTGTGAAAGAGTTTAAAAAGAAGAACAGAAACAGTTTTCTGGTGTTACAGAAGTGAACTGCTTCAGCAGTCCCTGTCTTCCAAACTCCCTAAAGGAACAGCCTGGCTGAGGCACTTCTACAACTAGTTACAGCTTCAGACTGGAATTTAAGTCCCCTCTCATGTGTGAGATCACAGACTTTAAGCCTTCAGTCTCCATGAATGATATCCTGCTGGCTTTGGGGCATCTCAGCCTGAGACTGAACTCCCTGCCTTGGAAAAGAAGACCAAACCCCTCTGAAACTCCAACACAGACCCTCATGAGACGTGGGGACTTTTATCAGAGGAAACCTCATTTTGATAAGGAAATGGAGGGAGAAGGGAGTGGGACTGATTATGTCCTGGTGGATTTCTAGCTTTCTCTTTCAGCGATAGGGGCAACCTGGCTTTTCTTCAGGAATCTGCTGCCTTTTGTTCAGTTCAAGGAAAGGGGGGGGGGAGGCACGTTGTCAGCCAGGCCTTTCCTCTCCATGAGGGTCTCCTGTACCATGAGAAGGGCAGAACTATCAGGGGGCTTTCAGGAGGACAGAGGTGAGGACAAGATGAGAGGATGTGATGTGTAGTGGTTAGTGTGCTGGATCACGACCAGGGAGACTTGGGTTCAATTCCCTAGACTAATACCTGTGGAGTAGGTGGGAATCTGGGTTCAGATCTTCCCGCTCTGACAGGAAGCTCACTGTATCATCTTGGACCAGTTGCTCCCTCGCTGCTTAATTGGTGTTCTAGTTTAGAAGAAGAAGAAAAAACTGATTGGAGAAGGGGCTGATGTGATAGAAATATACAAAATTATGGTGTGAACTCTTGAGAGTCCCTTGGACTGCAAGGAGATCAAATCAGTCAATCCTAAAAGAAATCCACCCTGACTGTTCCCTGGAAGGCCAGATAATGAAACTGAAACTCAAATACTTTGGCCACCCAATGAGAAGGGAGCACTCACTGGAGAAGCCCCTGATGCTGGGAAAGATTGAAGGTCAAAGAAGATGGGGACGGCAAATGATGAGATGGTTAGACAGTGTCAAAGATGCAACGAGCATGAAATTGAGCCAACTTCAGAGGACGGCAGAAGACAGGAGGGCCTGGCGGGATCTGGTCCATGGGGTCGCGAAGAGTCAGACTCGACTGTGCGACTGAACAACAACAACAGAATGGTATGAAAGAAGTGGACAGAGAGAATTTATCCTCTTTCTTCCACATTCCAAGGATTTAGGGCCACCCAATTGGTGCTTAATTGGTGTTCGAGTTTAGAAGAAGAAGAAAAAACTGATTGGAGAAGGGGCTGGCATGATAGAAATATACAAAATCATGGTGTGAAAGAAGTGGACAGAGAGAAATTTTCCTCTTTCTTCCACATTCCAAGGATTTAGGGCCACCCAATTGGTGCTTAATTGGTGTTCGAGTTTAGAAGAAGAAGAAAAAACTGATTGGAGAAGGGGCTGGCATGATAGAAATATACAAAATCATGGTGTGAAAGAAGTGGACAGAGAGAAATTTTCCTCTTTCTTCCACATTCCAGGAATTTAGGGCCACCCAATGAAATTGATGGGCATTAAGTCCAAGATAAGACTGAAGGAAAGACAACTTCACACACTGAGTGGTGGACAAGGGAAACTCACTGCTACAAGATGTGGCTGTGGCCACTGGCTTAGGATAAAGAGGGTGGTGGACGTATTTACAGAGGTTAAGTGTACTGTTCATGTTGATTGGGGCCTCCAGGTTCAGTAGCAGATTGTTAGATTGTGGGGAAGGGTCAGCAGGGAAGGGCTTTGGTCTGTCTGTAGGCTTCCCTGCAGCATCTGTTGGAAACAGGACGCTGGACTAGATGGACAACTGGCCTGATCCAGCTGGGCTAGTGTGACAGTACATGTTGTGAGACAAAAATGGAGGCGGGTGAAATAAAAATGTGGTTGCTATGGTTGATTTTCATGGCCCCACCCTGTGAACAATAACATAGTAATATGTGACTTGTGTGTTTTCTGTGATTCCTAGAGTTGCCAACACTGGTTTGGGAAATTCCTGGAGATTTGGAGGTGGAGCCTGGGGAGGGTGGGTTTTGGGATGGGAGGGCCCACAACAGGGTATAATACCATACAGTCCACTCTCCAAAGCAGTCATTTTCTCCAGGGGAACTGATCTCTGTCATCCGGACAGCAGTTGTAATTCCAGGATTTCTCCAGGCCCCGGCTGAAGCTTGGCAACCCCAGACTCCCACACATACTGTTTCCACTCCAGATTGGACCCATGGTGGTATGAGATGGAAGTTCAGCCTTTCCACCCCCTTTGCCGTTACCCCAAACTAAAGCGGGGAGCAATTTGGCAGAAAACGACTTGGTGTTACCTTAAATCTCAGGGTGGGTCCATTTTCCCCATCCTTTGGATTTTGTCTTGTGCAAATAGAACTCTGAATAAAGAGATGACAAAGAGTCTTTAGGAAGTCTTCATTTCTGACACTAACCTGCCTGTTCCCGGCCTACACAGAAATTCCATCCATTGGCGCCCGTGTGTCCAGTCGAAATGAAACTTCTTTCCGACTAGAGTGGAGCCGCCCGGAGACATCTGTGGATGGATATGAGATCCACGTGGCACCTGTGGTAATGGTCAATTGTTTGATACAACGTGCTTCTGGTGGTGGTGGTGGGGTGTGTGCGTGTGTGTGCACATGCGAATGGAGATGCTTTGGATCTCTTTGCTTCTATTTCATCCAGTTGTCTAGGATAATGTCTGTGTAGGCCAAAGAGGGCCAGGGAACATATTGCTATATGACACCAAGACAGCAGGTATTGGAGAGCAGTTGCTTAAATCTGTGAGAGGCCAGAATTCTGGGATTCAGTGCTCAGTTTTGTCAAGGTTGACATCAGGTGGCGGAGCAAGCAACATACTCTCCAGTGGCAAACTGCATCACCCCCTAATTCTCCTCTACTCCATCTCCCCTCCCTCCCATCTATCACTAGAGGGTCTCTGACAGACAGAGTTGCCAGTCCCCAGATCCCAGCAGGGGTTCTCCCACTTTTTGGGGCTTCTGCCCACCACCGGTCAACTGGCCAGGGGGGAAACCCTGCCCCTGAACAGCCACATCTGGGCGTGATCTCCCTGACACAAGAACGTCACCTGGAAGTGATGTCATCACATCCGGGACATCATGTGCGACGCTCTGGTTTGAGGACAAAACTCTATGGTAAATTTGACCTAAAACCAGGGGTCATTTCCTGCAGGAGCGCACAGGAGCGGAACTCCGGCAGTAAAGAGCCCAGGGGGCGGGCACACGCAACAAGCCCCACCCCCTGCTCCCAGCAGCCCTCAGTCAGAGCAAGAAGCAGCCAGGTAAGTTGCCGAGCTTCCCCTGGCCCCCAGTCCAAAATAGTCCAGTGGCACCTTTAAGACCAAGTTTTATTCAGGTACAAGCTCTCCCTCCTCTGCGAGGACAGATCTGCACGTCCCCCCCCCAATAGCTAGCAATCCAAAACAGTCCAGTGGAGCCTGAGTGGTGGGTGTTGCCTTCTGACACACTTCCACTGATGTCAGGGGGTGTGGCATATGCAAATAAGTTATGCTAATGAGCTATGCTAATGAGCTCCTGCACCTCTTTTTCTACGAAATGACCCCTGCCTAAAACCATAGAGTTTTGCCCTTAAACCAGAGCGTCATTGGTTTAAGGAATCACCTGGAAGTGATGTCATAGTGTCAGCGATGTCTCGGAACACCCCCCCCCCAATCCCCCCACTGGCATGGCAATGGGACCTGGCAACCCTACTGTCAGGGCTGAAGGAAGCCAGAGAGAATTGTTGCTCTGCCCCCCTCTGTCCAAGGGGTTGGGAAACTCCTGGAGGTTAGGGGGTGGAGCCTGGGGAGGGCAGGGTTTGAGGAGGGACCTCAGTGGGGCATAATGTCACAAAGTCCATCCTCCAAAGTGGCCACTTTCTCTAGAGGAACTGATCTCTGTCATCTGGAGACCAGTTATAATTCCAGGAGATCTCCAGGCCCCACCTAGTAGATGGCAACCCGGTTTCCAACTCCTCATGGGCGTGACTGTGGCCAGTTCTGGGCCCTTTGACAGGAAAAGTTCCCAGTCAGGCAGACCCCTTATGCCAGCCTTGACCTTGTCCTTCTCATTTCATCGCGTAGAGTCAGAAAAAAGTACAAGAAAGTAGGCACTACAGTGGTTAGGGTCATGTAGGAGCAACTTTAGACAAAAGCTAAAGATCTATGATTTTTAATTTACTGGGTGGGGAAGATAGCTAAAGTGTAGAGGTGATCTGAGACTGTGGAATGGTGAGGTATTCCTGAGAGAAAACACGCTGTCCCTCAAAACAGCAGAACTCAGGATCATCCAGTGAAACATATAATTTCAGGAGAAACAGAAATAAACCCTCGATATTATACTCACACATGTCAGTCAGAGTTGTAAGGGAACTTTTAGGTCATTGAGTCCTACCCCTCCTCAATCCAATGATAGAGCATTCCTGACAGACAGCAGTCTGGACTCTGGATGAAGACCTCTGGGGAGGGTGGGCCCAATACCCATAACTGGCACCCGTGTTCCCTCTAAGCTGAGTTAGTGTGAGCTAGCTCACAATTTTTTAGCCTCCAGCTCACAGATTTTTGTCTTAGCTCAAGAAGGATGGCTCCAGAGCAAACTGATTTATGCAGTAGCCAAATCACTGGCTCACAACTTTCAAGCCAGTAACTCACAAAGCAGAATTTTTGCTCACAAGACTCCACAGCTTAGAGGGAACACTGAATGTTGGCACCATTGTGAAACTGCGCTCTCCACTGGGAAGTCTCCCCTAATGTTCCACCAACGTCTACTTAAGCCAATTTGATCTAGTCTTACATTCCGGAGCACAAGAGGACAAGTCTTTGGCCCTCTTTCATGTTCCCCAGGTATCCCAAGAAAACGATCATCAATTCCCTCCATCTTCTCCAGGTTAAAAATACCCGCTTGCCTCATTTCTGAGACTCCCCTAACCAGCTTCATTACTGACCGTACTTATTGCTCTGAAGTCTTGGACTCTCGTCCCAAGGTTCAGATCTTCTGGAGAGAAGTTAACGCCCAAATATTTCTAATTACAGGTTGCGCGAAGTCTTGGACTCTCCATGTTCAGAAGCAGTATGTTTTTCATTAATAGACCTTATTGTGTGAGGGGTGGGTGTTTCCCATCCGTCCTGTGAATTCACACTGTCCTTCTCCCTCTTCTCTACCCACAGCAGAATCACCAGGCAGGGGAATCTGTACGCTTGTCCAGCACTGAGACCGCCTTTGAACGCAAGGGATTGGAACCGGGAAAGGAGTATACTGTCACCATCCGGGCCGAGAAAGGGCAGCGCTACGGGCCCCCTGTCAGCCAGACCGTGCGTACACGTACGTAGCCAGGATGCTGTATGTGTCTGTGTTTGCGGTTTCCGCTCTTGTCTTTCCTGTTTTCTCTTGCATCAACCAAAGGGCCGCTTGCAGGTACGTCCATACACTATGATCCTGAGGGGTGGAAGTGTAGCTTGATTCGCCACCTAACTTCTTTATGGGCGGATGGTCAGACTCCAGAGCTAAGTCAACATGGCCTGTGGAGTGGGGGAGATACTGGCGGGAGATGCATGTTCTAAAAAGCAAGAGGAATTCCTGGAATTTCTGTTTTATCAAGATTTTCACTCGAACTGAAATTGTGACATATAACATACCCACTAATATCTTCTGGCTGAGCTCTCAGGGGCCTATTGTGATGGTCAATCGTATCTCCATTTGGGGGGGGGAAGAAGACGAAGAATTGTATGGTTCAAATGTTCTTTTTCTTGGACAGTATAATATTTATCACTGGTCCCCTGTACTTGTCAGTTTCAGCAGATGCATCACTTACCGTAATTCAGACACAACATACATTGACTAATAAACACAGGTACATAATTATTTTGTTATTTGTTTAGGAAATCTTTTGGCTGCCTCTCCAGAATGCTGCTTGAGGCGGTGCACAAAGTTAAAAACAATACAATAAGTTTTTACCTGCTCCCCATTTCCCTGATCAGGGGGAGGTTCTATTGGATAAAAGAGTCCTGAAGACGGTATATTCCAGGCCACGAGCCTAACAAAGGAATAGCAAGCCAGCACCCATCCCAATGGCTTTCTGCTACCTAGCAGACTTTACTCAGCTACTAAAAGCAAACATTTGTTTAAGATGGCTGCCCCTTTGAATTTATAATTGTTTATTATTTTTTTATTTTCTCAAAAGAAAGTTGAGATACAGAAGGAAAAGGGCTAGGGGAAATAGGGATTCATCAAAAGCTTTCAAATACGAAAAGTTACATACAAAAAGGAGGGTCAGCTATATTAATAAAACTATATTTTTCAAATACGGGAGCAGATAGTAGAACATCATTATTACAATATTCAAGAATATTTTCCCTCTGAAAGAATGAACAAGATGTTTCAAGGTGTTCAACGAAGACCTAAGAAAAATAAAAAGGTCATATCTTTAGCCTTAAGATAAATTTTTACACTAATTTTGAGCCTTCATTATAAACCTACATGTTATCTTAACAATTTACTGTATTGTAAGTCTCATTGAATTTATGATTATTTATTGTGAAACAAAGTTTGAATTTGAAACCGCCCACTCTTTTGTCCCCAGTCATTTATTACTTCATTGCATGTACTGTTCTGCACCAACATGATCAGGGTTCTAGTCCTCACTTTTATAGTCCCTCAGGCCCTTCGTTCTGAGCAAACCCCATCTTCTGTCACCTGTGGCTGTCTCTTCCCTCCCCCATTTCCATGCTCCCTTCTATAGATGTCTCTCCCTTTCTCCCAGGGGTTGCACCTCCTCGAGGCCTGCGCCCATCGGGGTCCACTGAAGACACCCTGACCTTGCACTGGGATCCGCCCACCGCACGCCCTGATGGCTACATCTTAAGCTACATGCCTGTGGCGGCTGCCCGGCCCTCCCAGCCTCCCAGACGCCTGGAGCTGCCAGCAGAACCTGAGAGCATTACCTTGGAAAACCTGGAGAGCCGCACCCGATATCGCATCACTCTGATTGCCCGCCAAGCCGGCGAGAGCAGCCGACCCACCAGCGTCACCGCCAGCACTACCGGTAGGGCATGGGGGGGGTTAAATTTGGAAACTGATGTTATCACCTCTCTCAATACTGGGAATGACAAGGGAGTGGATATGAAATGATAAATAAGCTTTGTGCTTCTATAGGGAACTGCAGAGGGACACTGCAATAAAGTTGTTGCTGAAAATACGAGGTGACACAATGAAATTTCTCGATGCCGTGACAACTTGGGATTTGCCGAGCCCTGGTGTGGGATTTGTTTTTAGGGAGAAGGGAAAGTTAAGGTAACAGGATGAGGATGGTGCACAGGTGGAACGTGAAATGGCATATGCCTCCCCTATAAAATTAAGTGAGTCTCAAGCCAACCTTCCCAGAGCAGCGTTGTTATTTAAGATTATAAGGAATTAAGGGAATTTGTGGCATCCTTGTAAAACTACAGCTCCCAGAATCCTTTTGGGAGGAACACCATGGCAATTTTGTTTCAAACCGTACATTATTTATTGCTTTGGTCACTAGACAAGAAGGGGCTTTGACAGGAAGTTGAAACCACTTGCTAGTGATATAAGTGGGAATGAATTGAGCATGGAAAGACTTCTGGAAGAAGAACGTGTGAGTGCACACACACCCTTATGTCTTGGAGTCCTTCTAAATATGTTCCCCCCCCTCCTTTCCTCCCACAGATGATCTCATTCTTTTCTTTTTCCAGCAACACTGGTTTACTGTCTTAAGATGGCCGACTTTCCCCTTTTCGTTTGTCCCTTCTCTTACTGTGCTACGGGTGTCTGAAGACCAGCTACAGAAGGTGGATGGAGGGCCCATGAGGACAATTATACGAAGGGGTGGGGTGGGAAACACAGATTAACTCAGTTTCTTTTATTGCAGGCACTAAAGAACGGGACATGGACGGTCGTCCCTTCTGTGGGGTGTCAACTCCAGTACTAATGGGTTTGGGGAGGTTGGGGAAGCTGGGAAGTCGTATCACGCAGGACTTCAGTCCTCCCGAAGTTGTCACCTCCCTGGCACGCCATCTCCATCACCATCATCGCTTCCTTTCCGTTCAGTTCTTTGCCGTAACCACCTCCATTTTTAATCCCACCAGTGCCGGTACCGAGCAGAGTAATCCACCTATATGCAACTCCATCCCCATCTTCCCAGCTGAAGCCCAGCATTGTCTCCTCTGGTTCTGAGGTTGGGAAGCCAGACCACAAGCCCCACCCGAGCCATCCCGTGTCCAGCACTACCTCATTATCCAATGAATTCTCCCTGAAAATGATGGTGCAAAACATCTCAGCCACACTCTCCTCATTCAATGGGACTCTCCTCGAACGCCTGGAGAGCTACGTCCGTACCACTAAGTACCCCCTCCGAAGCAATCAGACCGTAGAGAGCGTGGCCAGAGCCATCTACACCTACATAATCCGTCGAAAGCCAGTGGGGTTCCAAGAGATGATCTATGAGCGCCTCGGTGAAGGGACTGACACTCCCACTCTGACAAATGGCCTCCAGGGTCAAAGTGTCTTTTCAAATGGATATACCCGCACAGAGCACACCAAGCCAGCTGTGGTCGTCAGCTCCCCAGACAGCCTGGAAGTGTCCTTGGATGGTGTGACGAAGCTCTCAGACGAAGTGGTTATCCACTACCACAAGACAGGGAGTCAAGAATGTGGGGAGTTAGTGGTGCCGGGGGGCACGCCGACAGCCATCGTCACGGGATTGACTCCGGGCACAACCTACTATGTGGAGATTCACGGGGTGGTGAAAGGACATTCCTCCAAGTCCTACTCCTTTGTAACCAGCACAGGTACCAGGGTTGGTAGGACGGCCAGTCTCCCAGGGTGTCTAGCTCTCTCCTTTTTGCCTGCAACTATCCCATCCCATGCCTTGTCATCTCCAAGCATCTACAAGTTTGTTTTGTGCCTACGCGTGGCTTGGGAGCTTAAACCATACGTGGCTTTTATGTTTGCCAGGAAGTTTTCAGACACCAGCTTGCTAACTACTTTCTCTCCCTTTTTTCCCCCTCACTGTAGCCAGGATGTTCGTTGTTCTCGTTACCTGTATCATCCATTACACGATTGGTATAGTGCCTTCCCGCTAATCGTTTCCCTTCTTTCCTCTAGCCAAACAATGCCGTCGCTCACCGTTCCAAAGTTTGTCTTTTTGCTACACGATGCTTCCCGCCGCCAATGTGTTCATGTTCAGTCTGTTTCTATGTTGTTGGAAATTCTGGACGGGTAGCCAAGTTAGCCTGTCACAGTGTGTGGGGGGACACAAAAAAATCCCTAGCCACGGTGTCTTGTGTTAGATTTATTGTGGCAGAAGCTTTTGTGGACTAGAGCCCACTTGTGTAAGATTCATGATGTGTTATTCTCAGTCAGCAGTGACGTCTACACATGGGTACAGACCAAAAACATTGTTGACAGTGGGGGCCAAAAGGCTGTGAAATGTGCTATTTCTGTGCAAAAAGCAATTATGGAAAAGTTAAGCAGTGCTCAGTGGACAGTTACGACAGCTGTTTGATCATGTTATTGCCAACACTGCTTTTGTAAATGGTCGTTTTTGTGACCTTGTATGTGAGCTTTTTGTAGAGAAGTCCCAGGGGTGGATCCTATCTAGCATCAGCAGAACTGTACTAGATGAAGGGGGAGTTTACCTCCTAAACCCTTCCACTGTGGCCTCTCTCGAAACTGTACTCCCAGGGCTCAGGGTCAGCTTCTAGGAAACGGAGTTTACAGAGCTTGAGATGCTGTGTACCCCAGACCCAAACTTTGAATTCTGTCCCAGAGAGATGTGTCTTGTACAGTCTCCTCTGTCCGTCACAGGTACCGTTCCTGCTCCAGTTGGGACTTTCCCAAAGGAACTGTAGCCTACTCATCCACCTGTTACCCTGGACAGACAGTCTGGGGAAGCAGCTATTTAGTCCATCTCATGTACATGGAGCCTCAGTGGAATCCTAAAAATTGTAGGTGGGCCATAGCCTGGGTCTATATGGGTGGGCAATCAGTGAAAATCATCTCCCTCTTCTGCAGGCAGAAGTTGCTTCTGTATTGGGAAAACAAGCTTAGAATACCTGTCACAGACTGGAAGTTTTGTTCGCCCTCATTTACAGTTTTTTCTCTCTGTACTCGTGTGTTTGCCAGCTGACGTCGCTTGCATCTGATCAAGTGGGGTGTCTCTAGGGCTGAACGGGAGTACCGAGAGTAGGGATTTTTTTCAAAAAAGATCCCTCCAAAATGAACTTTCAGAATTTCAAGATTTGAATTTGGAAATTTCGCCGGATTTCGAGCTTCTGCGAAACATCGCCCTGCTGCTAATAGTTGTGTGTGAACTGATCGGTTGCCCCCACACTTTTAGCCCTCGTCACGTTGTGTCCTTGGTGGAGAGTGTCCAGATGGCTCTGTGTTTAACTGCTTCATTTGTCCCCCCCAGGTCAAAAGGGGTCCTTCTGTCTGTTGCCTTCCGTGCTGCTTCTGAATGGTTTCGTTTTGTTCACTGTTTCTGTTTTCAGCCGTGTTGGCTTCTGCCACACGCCCATCAAGTCGGCTCACCCACCTCCTGCTGCATTCTTTTGTTCAGTCTTTTAAATACTTGCCTTGGATTTAGCTGAGACTAGGGTTGCCAGCTCCAGGTTGGGAAATACCTGGAGACTTTGGAGGTGGAGACTGAGGAGGGCAAGGCTTGGGGAGGGGGGACTTCAATGGAGTATAATGCCATGGAGTCCACCTTCTGAGGCAGCCATTTTCTCAAGGTGAACATCTCTGTCATCTGGAGATCAGTTGTAATCCCAGGGGATCTCCAGCCACCACCTGGAGGTTGGCAACCCTACCTGTGATGTATTGGAGGTCTTTCCTCAAGGAAACAATTTTTTTGTTTAGGGGCTGACCTACCAAAGTGTGATCTGTTGACCTTCAGAGAGGGTCAGCTTTGATATGGGCTTGGGTGTGGCATACCTCTCAGTTGTCCTTGATTTGAACTCCATTTCATGAGTCGCCTTGTACATCCTGGCTGCAGTTCTGATTTTTTTTAGGAATGTTTCAGTCTCCCCTATGTTTGGGGGAAAAGAGTGAGCTCTCTAACAACTAGTTCTAGCTCAGAATTTCTCGCAAAGAAAACTTGTGCTTCCGTTAAAACAGAGTGGAAACTTGGAAAGGTAGTTTTACTTTTCACAAATACTTTTGTCTGTCTGTGAAAAACATCCCCTTCTAGGTGATGTTTTAGGACAGGCTGGATAGGGCATGAATGTCTTTGCACATTCAGAGTGAGGACAATCAATCCAGGAAGTGTTGCCCTTGCTCTGAATTGGCTATATTTACCCTTGGTGACATCATTATCATGTAGACAAATCTGGCTGGCGGTGGGATGATGTCACTATTCCCTGGAAGGGGAAGACTGAGTTAAGGGAAAAGAAGTTACAATGAAGCTGCCACCGATGAAGGCACACACAGGCAGCATATAAGACAAGCTAGGAGAAGTTTCTTTTTCAGGAGGTGGGATTTGTGCTCTCTGTAAAACATTAGATTTACGCTGAAAATGTTTGTGCACAACTATTAAATGCAGCCTTTAAATTGTATTTTAATTAGTTTTCCACCTCGACATTCTCAATCATGGATGCAACTGGATTTGAGTTAAGAAAATATAACAGGGTAAACATGGATTTTAGAAAGCACAAATTGTAAAACTATTGACTTTTGAAATGCAACATTACTTGCTTTGTTCCTGTTTTAGAAGACCTTGATTAGAGAATGGTTTTTATGATATGCCTTGCAGAGTTTAAATTACCAGTCCATCCAAGGTGATCTATGAGCACAGAAGCCGAGAAAATATAATATGATAATTCTCAGCATATTTTCGTAGAAAGTGTTGTGCACAAACCAGATTAATTAAATAAGTAAGCAAATAAAGAAACAGCTCATTGATCAGTCCTGAAAACAAGCAGAGGCTGGAGGGGGGGATCTGATATTCAGAAGTAAACAGAAAATTTTGAAAATGGAAGATGTCAGATTTTTTTTTCAGACCTGGAATTTCTGTTAAATTTCATTGCATTTTAGTGCAGAGCCTGAAGCACTAGTGAAAGGAACTCTCAGTACAAAATTTGGCAGCCAACATTGCTATCTGAATAATTCAGATAGGCTTCAAGGGCAGCTCTGTGTAGGCCTCAAAACAGCAGTCAAGAGACCTTTTGCTTTTTAATTGTAAAGTCCACAGAACTGAGAGGAATGCTGGCTGGTTTACGGCTGGGAGGGAGAAGGGGAAAGCTTCCAGAAAGAGCATTCTTGAACCCTCATTCCACACCTGTCTTCCTTCAGCTCCAGGTCCATCTGCAACCAAGGTCCAAAGCACCCTGGGTCCTATCACAACTCCTGAGGAGGTGCCAGTAGGCATCCTAAACGTGACTGACGTCTCTCCAAACAGTCTCCGAGTGATTTGGTCCGCCCCACCCAGTACCTTCCACACGTTTTCCCTCCAGTATAGGGACCCTAAATCCAGTGCAACCCCAGGAGAAATCAGAGTACCTGGGAGTGAAAGGAGTGTCAACGTGATGGGTTTGAACCCCAACACTGAATATGACCTGGAGTTACGTGGGGAGACACCTGATGGGGTCCGCAGTGCTCCAATAACAACAAAGGCATCTACAGGTACCTCAGTGTGCTCTGTGACGTTGGGGTTCTATAATCAGATCCATCCTGAGACATGTAATTTATATGCAAAAAGCAACTGAAGCTAGACCTCAGGACAGACTGGGGGGCTCTAGCAATGGGGAAGGAGGTACTGAACTCTCCCCTCCCCGGTACTATTTCCTTCATCAAAATCACCCGACCATGACCGGCTTAAGCCCCAATCTGAGAAAAAGACAGGCCCAATGTGGCTACCTATCTTTCCCCTTTTCAAGGTATAAAGTAATTGAGTGGGGCGTTTCTGTTCAGGGAAATGTCCCATGTGGGAAAGTTGAAGATCCTCTTCCCTTGCTTTTTGCAATTGTGTTACGTGGTGGGATCTGGTCCCCAATGGCATATTTGCTAGACCCTGAACTTATCAAGCTATAGTTGTTAACTCTTCCTTCTCAGTCAGCACGATGATTTCAGAATGCGCGTGACCAATATGTCAGAATATGTATTTCTCATAACCTAGGAATAGGGCTGCCAAGTGGGGGCGGGTGGCGGGTAAACCCCCACTTTGGAGGCCCGATTTCCGACACCGCGGAATCGGGCCCCGGGGGAAAACCCACCTCTGCGTGCGTGTCACCAAGAAGTGACGTAGGCACACCGGGCACGCTGGGGGCGGAGCCACGGCCATTCTGGGGGCGGAGCCACGGGTAAATGGCACCATAGTTTTCCTTTTTATGGCCGTGGCCCCACCCCCAGCGTGCCTGGCGTCCTCCCGTCACTTCCGGGTGACATGCGTGCGGCGCATGCACCAGACGCCAGCCGGGAGCCCCCCGCTCCCGGCAAAGACGCACTTGGCAACCCTACCTAGGAAGTTTTCTAACTGACATTGTAGGGGGGGGCATGGCATGGGGGAAAGGACATTAGAGAGGCAGTTTGGTATAGTGGTTAAGTGCGCGGACTCTAATCTGGGAGAACCGGGTTTGATTCCCCACTCCTCCACTTGCACCTGCTGATGTGACCTTGGGTCAGTCACAAGCTCTGGCACAGCTGTCCTTGAAAAAGAGCAGTTTGTGTCAGAGTTCTCTCAGCCCCACCCACCTCACAGGGTGTCTGTTGTGGGGAGGGGGAGGGAAAGGAGTTTGTAAGCCGCTCTGAGACACCTTTGGGTAGTGAAGGGCGGGGTATAAACCCAATCTCTTCTCTTCTTCTTCTTCATTGTCGACACATTGATGTCACTTCTGTCTAAAATTTGAAAGTAAAAGCATAGAGATTGACTATAATCCTAGAACGTCAGTGGTGTCACTTCTAGGTTTTAGCTGGAAGTGACGTCAATGACACCACTCCCCATTTTCTCCCATTTTGAACACTGACAGGGATGGGGGTGCTTTGGCTGGGGTTTGCCTGCCAAAAGTGGGTAAATGGCACCCTAGTTTCTAGGGTTTGATATGATAGTCTCCAATTGTCAGATGTAGTAGACAGCCACCTATAAATGGCTGCCTCTTTCTTAATTGGGACTTTCTAGGCAGAGGGGCATCTGCTGGTCTGTCCACTGTTGGAGACAGAGGATAATTTAACTTATCACACCTTATCTACAAAAGCACACCTCTGGCATGCAGCTTCTGACTAGCTGATACCTCTGCTCTCTAGAAGAAGGAATTGGCCCCAGACAGTCCCAGCCACTGTGACATCACTTCCAGCTTCAAGGGTGGCCCGCCAAAACAGTAAGAGTGCAGGGGATTTGGCAAAATGCTGGTGGGGGGGGAGAGTCAAATGTGAACAGTCCCTTCAGGTCTGGAAGTGACGCCATTTTAAGCCAGCAATGTCAAGGTGCTGACAGTATATGCTATCACTTTCGTAACTGGGAAGTTTTTGCTCCCTTAAGACACATGCCCAAAACGGTAACCCAGGATATACCGCCATCCAGATTGTCCACCCCAGTGGAAAACGAAAAAAACCCCTCAGGCACGATTCCTACATTTTCTTCATCCGTTTACTTCTCTCCTTAGCAGCCATCATTCTCTCTTGTTTGTTTTAGCCCCTGCAGCAGTGCCGGACAGTGAAAAGCCCACCCTAGGCACACTCTCTGTTTCAGAAGTCACAGGCAACTTTGCGCGCCTCTTGTGGGACAGTCCCACGGGGACCTTCGACTCCTTTTTGATCCAGTATAAGGACGCTGAGGGCAAACCGAAGGCGCTGCCTGTGGACGCGAGCTCCCGGGAAGCCACAGTCACTGATTTGGTACCCTCCCGAAAATACAAGTTTAATCTCTATGGGCTCATAGGCCGCAAGCGACTTGGTCCTGTCTCCACAGAGGCATTCACAGGTGAGCCATGGACTCCAGAGTGCTGGTGAATTTCTCCGTCTGAGGACCAAACTAGACATGTCACTGTGGACCCATGACTGGACCCCTCTTCCAGGATGTCATTGGAAGCTGTGACGGAGGGGATTTGGATAAAAAACCCTTTCTTGAACTGCAGCTGTCCTTCTGTGCACAAACCAGTTCTAAACAAAAGTCACAAGGACAACAAGGAAAACTCTAGGCCAGGGGTCCCCAACATGGTGCCCGTGGGCTCTATGGCGCCCACCAATGGCTTTCCTGGCACCTGCCAAGTATTTTTAGAAGGTGGGCAGAGTCAGATGGGGCTTGTCCCCAGCAGGGCTTCTGATTGGCTGTGCAGATTAAAAGGCATCCCGCTGAAAAAGGGCTTCTGCCTTAAAATTATGCACAACCTCATTTTCTAACATTTTGTGGTTGGCTCCAGCCTCCTGCGACAGCCATTTTGTTGTTGTGCCTACCGCCCTGTGACAGGGTTCCAAATGTGCCCACAGGCTCAAAATGGTTGGGGACCTCTGAACTAGACTTACTTGATTTGGTAGCAGTTTCATCTGCCTTCTCCTAATAATTCCATGAACCAACAGTTCTGGGGAATGGGGAAAACTCTTGCCCGCTCCTGCTGTTTCCCCGTCAAAACTCCCCCATGTAGGGGAGAAAAGAGAGGCCAAGAGAGTGTGTCTGTCATTTTCCCCTCCAAAGGCAAGTGAGGAGGCATGAGGAGGGAACCGCTAAAGCCCTTCTTTTCCCCATCGCCTCAGTCCTGATCCAAACTGAGGCCCTCCTCATGTAGGTAATTTTAAAGGCTGAAATACACATTGGGAAACCCCATCGTGGATCCCCATTCTTGCTTCAACATTGGTCCATAGCACTGAAATGAATCTGGGGCAAGGGGAGTCCCATGCATGCCGTGTTTGACCTTTACAGTTTAAGAGCACTTAATGAATCATGGTCAAACTGTGCTTTCCTCCTTCTAAAACAGTAGTTAAGGGGGCCGTTATGAAATTTAAGGGGGCCAGACTCCACAGGCCCCTCCTATGATTTATTGGAAGGTTGTTGGGGTTTTTTGGTCCTTCCCTGTTTTTCTTTTTTCTTTTTGTTTGGTCCTCCCTATTTTTCTGAGTCAGTCCCTTTGTGCCATTTTAAGCCATCTGTGAATGATGCACCATGAAAGTAGCTGTCACCACCAGAACTGTTCAGACAGGTAGTGGAAGCACAATGAGGGGACACGGGTGGAGAAGACGTGCAACCTCACAAAACTTTTTATAGTCCCCCTACTCCATCCCAGTTATGAGACCAAAAAGGTTATTTATTTATTGAAAATATTTATTCTCCACCTTTCGTCCTTACTGAGCTCAAGGCAGCTTACACTCTTAATAAAATACAAAAAATAGATTACATAAGAATCATAAAACCAAAATTTAAAATCACAATTTAGGACTGCTTTAATCAGATACGGTCCTAAATAAAGCTGTCTTCAGCTGCTTCCTAAAGATCGGAAGTGAGGGGGCCTGGTACATCTCACTGTGGAGGTTATTCCATGCAGATTAAAAGGCATCCCGCTGAAAAAGGGCTTCTGCCTTAAAATTATGCACAACCTCATTTTCTAACATTTTTTGGTTGGCTCCAGCCTCCTGCAATAGCCATTTTGTTTTTGTGCCCACCGCCCTGTGACAGGATTCCAAATGTGCCCACAGGCTCAAAATGGTTGGGGACCTCTGAACTAGACTTACTTGATTTGGTAGCAGTTTCATCTGCCTTCTCCTAATAATTCCATGAACCAACAGTTCTGGGGAATGGGGAAAACTCTTGCCCGCTCCTGCTGTTTCCCCGTCAAAACTCCCCCATGTAGGGGAGAAAAGAGAGGCCAAGAGAGTGTGTCTGTCATTTTCCCCTCCAAAGGCAAGTGAGGAGGCATGAGGAGGGAACCGCTAAAGCCCTTCTTTTCCCCATCGCCTCAGTCCTGATCCAAACTGAGGCCCTCCTCATGTAGGTAATTTTAAAGGCTGAAATACACATTGGGAAACCCCATCGTGGATCCCCATTCTTGCTTCAACATTGGTCCATAGCACTGAAATGAATCTGGGGCAAGGGGAGTCCCATGCATGCCGTGTTTGACCTTTACAGTTTTAAGAACACTTAATGAATCTTGGTCAGACTGTGCTCTCTTCCTTCTAAAACAGTAGTTAAGGGGGCCATTATGAAATTTAAGGGGGCCAGACCCCACAGGCCCCTCCCATGATTCATTGGAAGGGTTTTTTGGGGGGGTCCTCCCTGTTTTTCCTTTTTCTTTTTGTTTGGTCCTCCCTGTTTTTCTGAATCAGTCCCTTTGTGCCATTTTAAGCCATCTGTGAATGATGCACCATGAAAGTAGCTGTCACCACCAGAACTGTTCAGACAGGTAGTGGAAGCACAATGAGGGGACACGGGTGGAGAAGACGTGCAACCTCACAAAACTTTTTATAGTCCCCCTACTCCATCCCAGTTATGAGACCAAAAAGGTTATTTATTTATTGAAAATATTTATTCTCCACCTTTCGTCCTTACTGAGCTCAAGGCAGCTTACACTCTTAATAAAATACAAAAAATAGATTACATAAGAATCATAAAACCAAAATTTAAAATCACAATTTAGGACTGCTTTAATCAGATACGGTCCTAAATAAAGCTGTCTTCAGCTGCTTCCTAAAGATCGGAAGTGAGGGGGCCTGGTACATCTCACTGTGGAGGTTATTCCATAATCACGGGGCTGCCACTGAAAATGCCGTCTTGTGTACCCACGAAATGGGCTTCTCTGATTGATGGGTCAGTCAGGAGGGCCTCTCCCTGTGATCTTAATTCTTGGGCAGGAATAGGTGGGAGAATGCGGTCATTCGGATACCACACTCCCAATCCATGTAGAGCTTTACGTTCAGAAAATAACTTTCAGCTAAGTTCTAGTTCCAGCATCACCATCCCCCCCCCCTTCTGTCCTAGCCCCAGTGGCGTCAGAACCGAAGACGGAACTGATGGCACCACCCAGCCTGGGAGAACTTAACGCCTCAGAAATCACGAAGGATTCTGTTCGTTTGTCTTGGAGTGTCCCTTCAGGGAGCTTTGATTCCTTTGTGGTCCAGTTCAAGGACGCTGAGGGCAGAGCCCAAGCTTTGCCTGTAGAGGGGGCCTTCCACACAGTCACCGTCCCCGGCCTGGCTCCTTCCCGCAGATACAGGTTCAACCTCTACGGCATCACCAATCGCAAACGACTTGGCCCCGTCGCTAAAGATGTCACTACAGGTCAGCAGAAAAGCTAATGTGACTGTGTTTATCCACAGGAAGCTGTTTTCTCTCCCTCCTGTAATGTCTTTACTTATTCTAGGGATAGCACTTGGGATGCGGGGAAGGCACTCTTCACCTCCTGAATTTCTGCTTCCTTCCACGTGCAATGGGACAGGGGACTCTTGAGGAAACGGTTCCGGAATCTTCTGCATAATGATCCCCCCGCCCCTTTTTAGTCACTTGAGTATTAGCGATTTTGTGACAGGCAGGAAATCAACATGTGAAGCATTCTCAATGCAATTCAGTGCTGAGGAACATTTCCGCTGTCAAATGTCTGTCCAGCATGCTGCCGTTTAAAGGAAACAGATGGCCTTTTCAGGCTTTTCATTTCTGGTGCTTCTCTCTCACATATCAGGACAACATGCTACACACAAACCTCTCAGTATACATGATCGCCATTTTGCGTGAAAACAACAGTGCATGTATTTTGCCGCTTTGGGAAGCACAAACATGGGCCCTTGAAAATCTGAGTTTTGTCGAGTGTGTACCAGGCTGAAGAATACACAGGCTGTCCTTTTCATGCAAAATGGCTCTCATGTGTATCGAAAGAATCATACGTAGGCTGACTCTCCCAGGGCACAAACAGGCACACCAGAGCTATAATGCCAGAAAAGAGCTAGATTCTGCCAGGGGGAAAAATGTAATACTAATCTCCTCTGATTACTCTTACTGGCATCTGTAGCTGTATGTCTGTCCTTCCCTCCTCTTTCCTGGGTATTAGGAAATGTTTTTTACAGTAAAAGCAGTTCAACAGTGGAATTGGCTACCTAGGGAGGTGGTGAGCTCCCCCTCACTGGCAGTCTTCAAGCAGCAGCTGGATAAACAGTTGTCAGGGATGCTTTAGAGCTGGGGTGTCAAACTCATTTGTTATGAGGGCCAGATCTGACATAAATGAGGCTTTGCTGGCCGGGCGTGCTGTAAAATGTAATGCCAAGTAGTGCAGATATAAACTTTATAAATGATACAGACAAGCACAAGAAAAGAGTCGCAGGCCAGATTAAGCCATGGGTGGGCTGGTTCCGGCTTATGGGCTGTAAGTCTGACACCCCTGCTTTAGAGTCTGATCCTGCATTAAGCAGGGGGTTGGACTAGAAGGCCTGTATGGCCCTTTCAGCTCTATGATTCTCACCCCTTTCTGTTGTCTTCTGTATTAACCTGAGGCCAAAACACAGAAGACCTAAACTCTTACCTGAAGTATCACAAATAGCACTTCCAAGTATGGACAGAGTCCTTCCCCTTCACCAGTTAATAATCACAGGCAGCCTTTTCCCCTTTTGGGACTGGGGGCAGGGATACCAAGTCACAGCTTAAGGCACTGAAAAAGGATTGAACCCCAAGACCTGTCTTAGCAATTCACCAATTAATCTTGGCTGTCAGCCCCTCTATTTAGCTGAGCCAACTTGAGCTTAGAAATGGAAAGGTGGCTACACCTAGTTTAAAAATAATTAATATGTGCATTTAATAACCCCATGCCTTGGCTGATGCCATCTTCTCAGACATGATGGTGGCAGTTTTCTACAACAGAGGACTGCCCCAATTATGTAGAAATGAAAGGTGTTTTCAAGTTTTATTGCAGAAGGGGTACATGAATGGGCAGTGTGTGCGGCATGTCCCCCTCCCCTCAAAACTCCCAGTTTCTACCCCTGTTAGATTGCCGCTAACAAAGACCCGGAGAGTGATTTCAACCAAAGTGATCAGCTTTATTGAAGATATGAACAAGCGCTTGAATTCAGTCATAACCAGAACAGATTTCCTCCCCTCAAAACTCCCAGTTTCTACCCCTGTTAGATTGCCGCTAACAAAGACCCGGAGAGTGATTTCAACCAAAGTGATCAGCTTTATTGAAGATATGAACAAGCGCTTGAATTCAGTCATAACCAGAACAGATTAACATTGGGAGCTAGGCTCCTTTTAAACGTTCCCGGGCTAATGTAGCCACGCCTATTTACAATTAACAAACAATGAGGTTGTGTAGATAACAACCAATGAGAGTCTTTCCCTCTCAGGAATTGGTACAGTTCTAATTGGTCGCCGTTACGGAGCGACCAATAGTGAGTCCATTCTGAGCAGCCTTCGTCCGGCTCGAAGCTTAACATAGGGAGTGAATGTGGCGATTGAAGTAAGCTATTTTAATACATTACAACCCCTCTATTTTTTATTTCCTCGTACTCCCCCCCAGCCAAGCTCTGGTGCTCAAAATCACCTCAGCTGCAAGAGATGTGTTTCGGGGAAATGTTTATG